CCCCAAAACCCCAAAACCCCAAAACCCCAAAACCCCGAATATTAGAGAGTAGGTTGGATTATTGTCAGCCAAATTTGTATAGCTTCTGGAGGATAACTAAATCTACTCAATATCAGCCACTTTCTAAGCTATCTTATTGGTGAGAACCTACATTTCAATGGCGACCTCTTTTGCACCTATAGCTACTCCAGGACTAAGAATTTTCAAAGTTTTTATACATACAGATCTAAAGGAGTCCATAAAATTTGGTAAAAAATTATCTGTCTTTAACCCGTAAGTGCAACAGTGACATTCCTGAAAATGGGATTTTAGCTGGAATAAATAATTTAGTTATTTTTCTTCGGTAAAGGTCTTTGAATTATTGTTGAGGTATGACTGTTACTCTGAGGGAAACTTTCTTCAGCCAATTTGAGGCTTAGCGACAGCTGATGCAATGAGTTAAGGCTTAAGGATGAAAAGGAACTAGCACATGATATATCTGGTAAAGGGCTTGGAAGTAGAGATGAGAGGAATGAGTAAAAGTCTCTACAATCTTTGCTTTGTCTTGATGGAGCAACAAAATTGGCAAAGGCACTAGAAGGACCTCCAATGCAAACATGCACAGCTGGTTTTCTTCTGACTACTTTTTGAATGGTGAAGTATCTTCTGTAAGGTGATGCTCGGGGAGCCGATTCATTTTTCTCGATTTTACTAAGGCACCTTCTTTCAGTACTTTTGGTAATCTTAAAGACTTTAGCCAAATCCTGAGAAGCAGTCTGGATCTTAAGTTCTTCTGAGATTTCATCAATAGTGTCCGACCTCGTCCTTCTATAGAACGAATGGGATGATTCACTGAGAGTCTTAGCAGAATTTTTGGCAGAGAAAGATTTAACTTTACGTTCAAGTTTAGAAAACTTCTCAACAGCGAATATTTTTGAAGAGGATGGTGACATCTTTTGCTCATTCTTCAAAGTTTCCTCATTTAGAACTTTTCAGATAGAATTCAATGAGAATTGTGGTTTTGATTCAAACTTTGGACAATTCCTTGTAATCTGGAATACTTTTTGATGGGTACTATGTTGCTCTCTTTGACATGGAATAATATCCAAATTCCTTTTTGGCCTTCAGACTTTGGTCACACCGAAAATTTTAGTGTGGGTGGTATCCTGATTTGCAATTTTACCAAGACAATGGTCTTTTGTCTGGTTGAACAATACTATAATTCAGATATGAGCTTTTTATTGATGGATGGGTCAAAAATATTGGAAAGTAGCAGATGCAATGCTCAAATACGGAAGTTTCAGCGACGCTAGGTTATCTAGAATCAGATAGGATCATTAGATTTCAGTTTTGACCCTTGCTCCACTATGTTATGGATACTCGGCTTACCTTTGACTGGCTTAATCATTTTCTTTTAGTTTTGTGTTGTAAGGAATATTTATATAATATGTAAATATTTTGATAATAATTATATATAATAAAATCGTATATTATTATTTTCATTCAATGGTTGAGAATTAGGGGTTTTGGGGTTTTGGGGTTTTGGGGTTTTGGGG